GAGGTGCTCTTGTGATAACGCCTGTATAGTGAGCTGAGTAGATTAGCGTAATGAACAGTTGAAGGTAACCAGAGAGTTGGGTTGAAGTGGCTGGAGAGGGACCCCCGTTTGAGCTGTGCCACATCATTTCCTCGATGTTTTGGATTTTGCCTGTTAATTTCAACGCACTCTCTCTTGGTCTCGCATCAATGAAATAACGGTGGATCTGTTTAACTAAATGACTCTGAAGTCTGACAAAACGTACCAATAAATGCAAATGCCATAGCTGTATGCTCATGATGAGAGGGGTATTAAGGTTTTGGTGAATGTCCAAGGGTCGACCGAGGGCAGGATTTGCGACTGAGGCCGAGGCCGAGGAAATTTAGCTTAAATGATAAAACCGAGGTCGAGGACAACCGATGAATTGTCCTCCTTAACGGAGGCCGAGGAAAAATCGCTATTCCTCGGTAAAACCGAGGCTGAGGCCGAGGACTCGGTCGACCCTTAAAATCTTCAAAATTTCGCCGAGGCCGAGGAATAGCAACTTAATTTTTAACCGAGGCCAGAGGCAAACCGAGGAATTGTCCTCCTGACCGAGGCCAAGGAAAAATCGCTATTCCTCGGTAAAACTGAGGCCGAGGCCGAGGACTCGGTCGACCCTTGTGTATGTCCCCTTAAAGTTCACATGAGGGGACATGAGGCTTGATGTGCACATTGCCAGGTATACTGGGCCACCAAGCAACCAGGAGATACGTATTTTACGGCTTAGTGGCTCAGTTGGTTAATCCGGGCCTGGTATTGCTTGAGGTACCAGGTTCGATTCCCGACTCTGCCACTAGCCGTGGGGTGAGCGTCGTCGACGCTCAGCTAAGGATCCTGAGTGGTCTATGCAGCCCCCCGGTCCACTCAGCCAAATACTCGAGAAATCGGGTGTGAGGGTTAAATGAGGAGCTGCCCATTGCAGCAAAGTCTCGGGCGAAGAAAGTATGGTACACACTACCTTAACCGTCACTGGCCTAATGTATAATTGAATCCTTCGGCTTCCTGTAATTGGCTGGTTACACACTTGTGTAACAATGTGGCTGTTGGAATGTCCGAAGTAAAATAAGAGTTGAGATAAAAAACAGTATGGATACATATTATGTATTACATAACCACTCGAACAGTCGACTTAGTCAAGGTTTTTAGTTATAAAGACTTCCTAAAACAATCCATTATAAGACTGATTTAATAAAAGAATCGGCGCGACTCTTGCAAGAATCGATCTTCTCTTCTAATTCTCAGCTTGTGCTAAAAATAAGAAATAATGAGTCAGGTGATTGGCTGGAGGGTTCTCGTTCCTGATGTTATAAATACCAGCTGACATCTTATAGCATAGAAAACGGCGTCTCTGGTATATAGTGTATGCTAGTCAAGCTCTAGTCAGGTAACACGAACGGCAGGTAGAAATGAAACGAGTAAATCGGAAATGGAGAAATGATTAAATAGATAAGTAATACAAAGTGAACGTCAACAGATAAAAAGCAACTTAGTGCGCTCCAAACGATACTCTTGATCAACATAAAGCTCTCAACTAACCTTTTTCCTGACCTATTTGGAATTTCTTCGCGTTTATTATATTACATAGTTTTCCCATTTAAATTTTAAACTGATTGCATTGAGTGACAGTAAATGACCTGATAGGCATAAAGGAGCTTATATCCGGTAAATTTTCATTTTGAAGGTGCCCTATGATTGGAGGAACTGACGTTTCTTAAAACCTACCAACATCTGAACTAGGGTGGTGGGGGAGGGGCCGGGGGGGCTACTGGGGGGGGGGGGGGGTGGCGGGGTGGGGGGCTGGTGGGGGGCTACTGGGCTACTGGGGTGGGGGAGGGGCCGGCGCGGAGGGGCTACTGGATGGAATTAAATAGTTAAAGAAGTAAAGAGCAGCAATTATTTTTAAAATCTATTTCAATAACTAAGTTGACACAAGACATCTTCAAACGAAAACGTGCAAAAAAGTGTTCAAGCTTTCAAGGTTCATGAGTTTCAGACAAAAATCAAAATTTCGTGAACGGAGTTAGAGGAATGATCTAGAGATGCTCTACATGAACCTCAAAACCTCAAATATCCTATAAGCTTTTGCTTTTTTTAATGACCGTCCTACGGATAGGGATTAGCGGATGGTTAAGACATAGTACTTAGACAATAGACTATGAATCTGCATAACAAACTAAACATTGTGATAGTGAGCCTACTTCAGGTTTCATGAGAGTTTTGAGATGTTTACAGGACCAGCCTGCTCAGAAACTCCTTTTCTGGCAGCCATCCTATGGCCATCGGTATAATTGAGGACGACCTCACAAAATATTTCAGGACGTCCTACAAGAAGATACTGGATTGGAACCCGATAAGTTACGTTTGCTCATGACTAATAGAGATAAATGGAGAGAAGCGCTGTTACGAAATTCGTTCCAGACTTCATCTGGATCGACCTAGGCAGGCAGTATAACTATAAGTTACAGTTAAAGAGTTAAAGCTGCAAGTATACCGCTGTTTAAAATGAGTTGGCGAGGTTGCTGTCTCTTTATATAACCGAGAAATCGACACCACAATAAATGGGACTGTTAAAACTTTAAACTGTTCAATCGAAAAGCTTGATGAAGGAGCAAGAGATTCAACCAATTTTACAGTTTTAGGCACGATATTTCAATGGGGTGTCAATAATCTCCGTTCAAAATTTGCCATTAGTTTCAAAATCGATAGATTGTTTAAAATTTGACTGATTTTTAGCACTTCTAATTGTAATGGTGTTCATTTGGCACAATAAGCATGACGTGATATAAATGGTTCATCGATAACTATTTAGCAGAGTTTCAGTTCATGGATGCTGCCGTGGGAAATCATAAACATTAAATTCTTAAAACATTCTTAAAACCGTATCATAAGAACTCTTTAATTTTAACACATTCGAACTATTCAAAAATACATGTTCGCCGATTCAACGATACTAAAGATTCTATCAATGATAAAGAAATGCAGCGCTAATATATAACACTAGCATAGAATAAAAGCACTAAAGAAGGAGATGCATTTGAAAATTGATAAAAGCCTTGAAAAACCCACTCACCCTGACACAAACAAATGATTTACAGAAATGATACGTCAAGCTGTGTTGTGACTTATATCTTGACCATCATATCTTGACAATCATGATAATATTATCATGTATTATGCAACGGCTTCTGATAGGTTGGTTATAGGGCAACTTTATAAATAATAAAATTTATAAAATTGCCCTATGTGTGAGTGAGTTGTTAACGGAGATAAGGTCTACATGGTAAGATTAAAAATAGTAATTAATTTCATAGGAATGGAATTGGTATTTGATTGCAAGGGAAATCGAAAAAGCTAAAAAAGCGTAAAAAAGCTAAAAACTTTGGAAACAAAAGCAATAGAGGAGCTTCAGGATTGTTAATATCAAATCGAACAAATGACTCGATCGCTCTATTTCATAGCAAAAGTTAATCAGATGGTCACGTACAATATAAAACTTTTCATTAGCTTCAGTTGTTACGTTATCTGATCTAGGGTCACGTGGACAGCTGTACGTGTCAGGTGGACAGCCCAAACGAGTCAGGAAATAAGTTTTTAAAACATATATTTTACATAAACATATTATATATTTTACACGTTTAAATAAGAAGTGTTTTAAGGTCTCATTCATCTCCTTTTCAGTATTAAAAGCTATTGTCTGGCGAATGCAATTAAACGAGCTGGCAATGCAATGAAACGTTGAGCAACATTTTATTTTGAACCCTCAACCTTTAAGATATCCCACGTACTCAACCCATACCCAGAGTCACGTGTTGGCAACTGTTCCAGTGCTGCTGACACAGAAACTAACTAAGTGCGTAGAGAAACGCAGATATCTCATTAGAGTTGATCTTGTTGTTGACACTGAGCTGTATGTTCTACCTTTTTACTGTTTTAGCCTTTTAGTTTTACCCTTAACCCACTAACCGATATATTATATTGTCATAATTTTAAATTTACTATAATATTATAATATCTTCCAATAAATTTTGTGGCGATTAAAATTAAAAAGTTGAATGATTCGAAGTTGGCTGAGGTTTAAACTCTTCTCTCATTTTAGTGTTGATATTTTATCAGAATCTAGGACGCTATTAAGTGGAAGATTGTAGTTCCGCACAGAAGTTCAGGGATACTGATAACTCCATTTATATGAATTGAAAGCTTCCTCCATTATCAATCATACAATCGTGACGTCATACAATCGTGACGTCATACATCGTGACGTCATATAATATTCAGTAAAATCAATGCGGCTCTCCTGATCCTTGCTCTACTTCAAGCAATTGCATTACTCATGAATATAATCTCTTGAGTTTTACTGTGATCGCACTCTTCGATCTCAAATCATTAAACCTCAACAGCCGGATAAATATAACAAGCTCCGCATAATAAAACTCAAATTACTACAAAGCAACATGTGAACTTCCAGGGGACAGAGAATCTCCCGGTAATAAATAACCGATTTTATTAATGAAATCTTAATAAAATCGGTTATTTATACCAAACCATAGCGACAGCTTTCACCTCCTCAACGCGAACGGGCGACAAAATCATTTATATTACGATTACATAACGTTAATACAGTAGTGAGTACTGAGTGGTTCTCACGGAGCACTTAATATATCCATACCTCAAACTTATTAGTTAACGTCTGTGCTGCTTAAACAGATCATCATCAGATTTAAGAGATTCTAACAAATTATCTCCAAATCAATTACGGCCTATCCAGAGCCTTTTATTATGTCATTTAAATCGCACTCTCCGGTCTCGTACGCCAATTTCAAATCATTCAACCACAAAAGCTGGATAAGTAAAATTATACTCAGATTACAGAGCCGGATAATAAAACTCAGCTAATTAGCTAATAAGTAGTAGTACTAGTAGTACTAATTATCTAATTAGTAGTAGTACTGATTGATTAGTACAACTCACAAATAACTCACTTATATGATCTAGAGAGCCAGCACAGAACATGCCGTACAGTTTCTTGACTCCCAGGTTCCGCAGATCGTGTATGAGATATGGCCAGAGATGTAACACGTTGTTACGTGTGAAACTAGTACGCTTTTCTCCTACTACCACATATGCCCCGCAGAGGGCTGCCTCTATTGCACTGCGCAGACCACATGGACCTGACATAAATACATAATTAAATACATAATTAAATACATAATTAAATACATAATTAATTCATCGATTGATTAATTAATTGGGTGATATCATTGATAACTTAATTAATAATAAATTAATTTTATGATTGAAATTCAATAGGGACCCTGATCATTAGTATTAGAAACGTTCGGGAGATATCGAACATCTTTTTTAAACGATTTTTCACGATTTGTCATATTGTCACGGAGACCTATTGAGAAAGGCATATAATATTTCACAAATCACACATCTTTAGTTCAACTTATTGACTTTCGATCCAAAATGTTTTTGGAGCATTTAGTCGAAGGCGAATTGATGCAAAGCTATTTAAAATTTTGTTTCGCTATAAGAATATCAATGGCTTGCGCTTCCAATCATGAATTAAATTCTTAATGTGTTAAATCGATTCTTCAGATCGGGATCTTTCAGAATCCGAAGAAAATAGGGATAGGAAGGTTTTTCGCTAATTGAGGGCAAAATGGAGTTAACAACAATTTTTAATTTTTAAACTATTTCTTCAAAATAACGTCTCAAATTACTTTTTACCCCATACACGATATGGGGTATGATCGGCCGGGTGGTGTAGTGGAAACACGATCGCCTTCCAAGCAATCCGGGTTCAAATCAGGTCGGATGCAAGTCGGCCAGTTACCAAACTGTGATTTAGTACAGCTTCGGCTGGTGATACACATTACACACCCTCTGCATCGTAGGACTAACCCCCCTACAGCTAGTATAGTGCCTCGGCACAGAGTGGCTTAGGGTTACTGAAAAGGAGATAAGCACCTCAGGCCATCCCAACGTTCGGGAGAGACCTCCCCTTGTATCTTGTGTTGTACATGATAAAGATGTACGCGACGGTCGAATCTACTTACCTTGTTGTCTTTTAAATCAAATTCGTAACTAAAACAGTTGAATTTCAAGAATTTTGAATTTTCAAAGTTTGTCAATGAACTTCTAGGAATGAGGGGTGTTTCTAATGATAAGGGTCAATGTCGTTACTGTAAAATACTCATAACTAACTGTGAAATACTCATAACCCCCGTACCCCCTCCCCCGTACAACCATACAACCCCCCTACCGTACGGCGTACAACCACCTACCAGCTCCGATAATGAAGATGTTACAGTCTTTACACTTCTCCACACAGCTCACATAATCTTTAACGTTGAGACGCCGCTGTAGGATCTCCATAAAGGAGGTATGTCTCCAGGAGGAGAAATGGGCTTTGAGTTTGCTGTAAAATTAAGATCATGATGATAGTATCACATTGAACTGAACGCATTAAGAATTCAATAACTTTGCAGGAGAACATTTTGCTATAAATCGGTGTCTAAACTTTGAGGGCAGCCGTTAAACCCGCCAACAACACAATTTACAGTGATCTGTCTGTACTAAACTAAACTAATTTATATGAGTTGGTGAAGCTGATATCTACTGCACAGGATGAAGGGGTTTAGTCTTATAGATTACCTGAAGAATTGGTAATGGGGAACATCGTTAAGGTTAAGTAGGGTTTTCAGCTCACTAAACTGCTCAAGTGTCTTTAATAGGGTGTTATCTGAAAAATGTGAGGTACAAAAAATAAACAGTATTTTAAATTTGAGCACTTTCTTATTAAAAATAATTTTGAGCCGCGCGGCAAAGGCCAAAGCAACTTTTATTACAAAACGGCAAATTAATATAAGTTTGTATACATAAGTTATTTAAAGTAATACTATCCACATGGCGCGCTTTTAACGCAGCCCCATCCCCCCTCCCCCAGCTATTGAATACGACAGTAAGGAAGAGTAAATACCATCGTAGAGGAAGCTGTCAAACAGCTGCTCAGTAGTGTTTGTTTCTTCAGTTGCTGGTGCTCCATCAGTTTCCATTTCATCGTGTAGTGAGCCAGAGCGTGTCACTTCATTCTATACAGTGATCATCACGCTACGATAGTTTGCGGAGTATTATAGGGGTTTATTTAGTGATCATATCACGATGATATAATATGGTTTAATGCAGGTTTATAGCGATTAGCTAAGGTAAAGATTCCACCTTCAGAAGTGTCTTTAATCTAAACTATTGTAGATAATGAATGGACATCAGTATTAAATTTCTCCTCGCTAAGAAAGGCCCCTTCTTATACAAATACAACTCTACACCGCTTGTTGCGGGGCAGTGTGAAATGTAAGCCAAATTAAATCACACACATTGCACAGTGTTCCATGTGCACAGTAGTAGCTAACTAATCTCTCACATCTAGAGTTGGAAACATATCATGAGTTATCGTCAACACTTACAATAGCTAGGTCAGCCGAGAATATAATAGATGTTACCTAATACAATACCTCTCTATACCTCTCTATACCTCTAATTACCTCTATATACCTCTCTATACCTCTGTATAGTGTATACCTCTGTATACCTCTGTATACCTCTGTATACCTCTCTATACCTCACTATACCTCTATATACCTCTCTTTACCTTTCTATACCTCTATATACCTCTCTATACCTCTCTATACCTCTGTATACCTCTCTATACCTCTGTATACCTCTGTATACCTCACTATACCTCACTATACCTCACTATACCTCTCTATACCTCTATATACCTCTCTTTACCTTTCTATACCTCTCTATACCTCTGTATACCTCTCTATACCTCTGTATACCTCTGTATACCTCTGTATACCTCTGTATACCTCTCTATACCTCTCTGTACCTCTCTATACCTCTGTATACCTCTCTATACCTCTCTATACCTCTCTATACCTCTGTATACCTCTCTATACCTCTGTATACCTCACTATACCTCTCTATACCTCTGTATACCTCTGTATACCTCTCTATACCTTGAACTATACCTCTGTATACCTCTCTTTACCTCTATATACCTCTCTATACCTCTATATACCTCTATAGGCTTTGTGGGACTGAGTATAAGTGTGTGAGGTTATCACAATATCGCGTGTCGAAGCAAGATGTGAACTTCTAGCTTTCTAGGGAACTGAGAGACTTCCGGTAAATCGGGCTCAAACTAAAATACCAACACCACTCCTCATATGTTTTCTTTTATCAAATCCTATAAAATATAATAAAACTCTTTATTAATACCAAACCATAGCCACGGTCTGCGCCGCATTTTTCAGTGAGCGACAAAATCATTCTTAGCTTATGATTACATTTGACTACATTTAACTACATAACGTTGACATAATAGCCAAAAGTTGTCAGGATACTGAACTCAAACTTACAAATTAACGTCAGTGCTTAAACGGGTCATCATGGTTATCCGATTAGAGGGTTTGTAACAAATTATATCTATGACAGCTCTGTGCTATTCCAATAACCAGGAGGTTACATGGCGTGAAAATAAAACAGGCTCGGAGACATGCTCATGTTGGAGACATGCTCATGTTGGAGACAAGAGAACGTACAAGGACGGTGTGAGAATTCTTATGCAGCTGCGAACTGTTCTTGAAAGATCTCTAAAATATGTTTCCTGATCTGAGAAAATTTTGAATGTCATCGTGTGAGACTTGATACGGGCAAATAAACACGGAACGGAAGAAATATGAAAATCCCCAAAATACCTACAACTCTCCGGTGAGTTGTAGGTATTAACAATGAAAACGCTGCTCAAGTATCCTGTCACGGGGGATGATTACACTAAGGATGAGACGAAGGCCAGGAGACTAAGGAGAAGAGAGGAGTAAAGTAGTAGTAAAGGGAGAAGTAGTTGGGAGGAGTAAAGAGAACACTCAAAATACCGGGAAATTATAAATACTCATGCATCCGACATAATCACGAGTACAATTATTACATCAGCACACACAGAGATTATACGTTAGTGAATAGTTTAATAAACTATCCTCAGGCCTCAGGTATGCTAATTATACTCAGGTATGCTAATTATACAGTGGTCATCATAACAAGGACGCGATATAAAATGTACAACTATCTTCTGTATAGATGCTCTGACAAAGAGCCTCGTGTTACATTATAGTGTAACACAGTGTAACACAGTGTTACACTGTGTGCCTAAGACGTGGTCTGTTTGGCTGAGTGCCAGCTAACGAGGAGGCTATTATTATACCACCCTACTACCTATAACACTACTACTACACCCTCGCAGGAACCGACATTTCATTTGATTATCCTGATTTTGACAGATATTTACAGAGCTGTTAATTGGAATTGTGCTGAGATCTAGAGGAGATATTATTATAGAATCCAGAGTAGGCCGCTTTGAGTTTTAATAGTTTGATGATCCTGTTAAGACTCAAATTACGATTCTTATCTTAGTATTATCGGCTTTCGCAGTGTTTATTTATAAAAATCATAATAACTTCCTATAAATATTTCGTTAGCATATGTGCAAACTGCAAGCTTTTTGATAATCCTTGTTTTAATTTCTGTAAATATCGAAATCAAAGTTCGGTGTGATGACAAGTGCCGCAATCTTGGCAATCTATATAAATATCAGCATATTAGCCGATGATAGAGTTGCTTGGAGAAACAAATTTTAACTCTAGCTGTCTTGATCTGTACTGATCACCATTTTAGGATGACTTGATTTCTTAGGGGTTTTGAACATTTTAATGGTGTAAACAGTTAATAATAATATAAAAATATCAAGTTTATTCGATATCAAGACTGTTCAGTATAGCACCATTTGGAACAGTTAGCCATCAGCAAGGTAAGCAATGTCGAGAAACACATAACTTATAAACCAGCTGCTATGAGTATGATCATATTATTATCTAATATTATTTCAATCATAAAAATATCTTCATAAGCACATGATAATATTTGCTAAACCTGGGATTATGTAAGAAAATTACCAAACTCATGTCAAGCATTCCAATAAAGCTGTCATATCTGTCAGATAGACTACATGATTATGTAGAGAATGCTTTGCAGATTAATGTTGTCATAATGTCAGATTGTCCAGCCACTTTGAAACAGAGAAGGACGGAATTAAAGCACTTTAAAACGCTAAATAATGTTACAAAATAACACTATAATAAGACTAGTTTTATTGTAAGGGAGTAAGGGGAACACAATATAACAGTACTTGTGTAACCCGTGCCTACGGCCGGGACTTCACAATCGCAGTTGAAATGCAAAAGTATAAACCCGCCTATTATATTCGAAAATATGCATTATATTGTCGAATATAATAGGCGGGTTTATACTCTCCCTATAGTCCTAACAGTGTTAGTGTTAGTGTTAGTGTTAGCAGGGGTGTAGGAAGCGGGGGGGCAGGGGGGCCATCGCCCCCCCATGAAATCTGGGCAAGGGGCCAAAAAGGGCCAACTTTTAAGTTTAGGTTTCAAAAAAATTTTTCCCGAAAATTTTTTCCCGAAAATTGTATAAGTGAAGTAAAGTCAAAACCTACCCTTCGATATACGATTTTGGACTCGAGGGTTCCCATTTGTCATGCGATCTCGGAAGGCAGGCCTCCCCTTCGCAATACGAGCTCGGAAGCGGGAGCTCTGCTTTCAGAGGTACCTATCGAGAATGACTCGGACTGAACATTTTCTAAGTCAAAAAATTTCAAAGTTTTCTTGGAAACTACTTTTGTTCATGTTTCATACTACCCTGATAATTATGAGCTAAAAATATTTTGTTCGGTTTTCGAAGTTCGATATACGATTTTGGACTCGAGGGTTCCCCTTTGTTATGCAATCTCGGGAGGCAGGCATCCCCTTCGCAATACGAGCTCGGAAGCGGGAGCTCTGCTTTAATAGGTACGTATCGAGAATGACTCGGACCGAAAATTTTCTAAGTAAAAATTTTTCAAAGTTTTTCTGGAAATTACTTTTGTTCATGTTTCATGCTACCCTGATTATTCTGAGCCGAAAATATTTTTTTCGGTTTTTTGAAGTCCGTATACCTACATTCGGAAGGAATTGTGGTTGTGATATTTATTGGTTTCATATACTAATTATAGAAAACGTGATATTTGGCCCACAGATATGAAGGAAAATACGCGAATTTGGTCCTCAGATTTAAAGGAAAATGCGCAATTTGACGCGGAGAACTGGAAAAATCGCGATTTGTCGTGAGGCCAGGATCTGAAAAATCGCGATTTGTCGCGGCAAACGTGAAAAATCGCGATACCGCACATGCTGCAATTTCCTTTTTTCCTTACCCTCGAAATTCAGGCATGGGCGCGAGCGCCAAAAAATTTAGACTGTGGCGCGAAGCGCCAAAAAATATTTAGAATTTGGCCCCCCCCATGAAGAAAATCATTCCTACACCCCTGAGTGTTAGTGTTAGTGTTAGTGTTAGTGTTAGTGTTAGTGTTAGTGTTAGTGTTAGTGTTAGTGTTAGTACATCTTTCAGTACATCTTTCAGTACATCTACATTGCAGTGTACTGTAAACATAGTAATATATTCCATAATTTGACTCAGATACTCCCTGTTTCCATCCTGGCTCAAAAACAACTCTCATTATTTAAATGGCAGGTTCATTTCTAAACTCACGTGTAATATTGTGAGAATGAAACTATAGATCTGGTCGGTGAACACAGAAACCAAGAATCACTGTTACGTGTCAAAACAAATATGGTTCACTCACAGCATCACGGATATCACGTGCAAATGTTTTGAAAACAAAGTAACTGACACTCGTACTTCAAATAACGTGTATTTGTTTAAAACAGATTTGACAGTTGGTAGGTAAAAACTACAAACGAAGCAAAAGCAAACTATAGAGTGGATTTTTTAAAATTTATTATTCCTTAACTTAGAAAGTTAGAACCTCGTGACCGAACGACAAGATTTTGACTGCCAATAATAACAAATTTAAAAGACACGGAGAAAATTTTCTTTCTTCATTTCCTTCATTATACTGACAATCCGACAATCGTCAATTATTGGAAATGGGTATTTTTATGATCACGAACATCGCTTGATAAACCACTTTTGAGCCAAG